CTGGAAACTAAACATCAGAATTACTCCACTGGTTCCAGTAGCGTCTTTAGGTTTTCCTGCAGTGAAACCAGTGGCAGATGACCACAGACCGGTGAACCATAGGTTTAATTAATGAGGCTTGTAGCTGGATGCAGAAATGACAGAACAGCTTTTTTGCTCCAGCGACTGGCAGCTAAATGCTGTCTGCTAATAAACTCCTGCGAAGAACGTGAAACACAGCAGCTGGTCGCTGAGCGGTTTATTTGGTTTGTTTTTGTTGTCATGAGCTGTCAATCAAAATGTTTTTAGGCCAGAGCATTTTTATTGACCCCATTTCAGAACGTAGAACCTCAAACTGGCTAAAAAATGGAGTCAGAACCTCAAAACAAGCAGCAGCTTTGAATATTTTGTAATAGGGTTTTTGACTCTTGCCAGGCCAAACAAAGCTCTAACAAGAATTAAGGATGGAGGAATGGACTTGCTGTGATGTTAGGTCGCACCGCCAGCAATGGATAAGCTTGAAAGTGGGGCATCTTTTCCTTGTTTCCCCAGATGGAAGCAACATGAGGAAGCCCATGTATTGGATGTTTCCAGAAGAAGGTCATGGTCAAGGTCAAGGTCAATTTTATTTATAGAGTGCATTTACAGCAGCAAAGCTACACCCAAAGCGCTGTACAAGGTAAAGCAAATCAAGGTACAACAAATCAACAATAAAAACCTAAAATAAGATGAGCACACAAAACAGAAGATGTCTAGCTGTGAGACGAGTTGATATCCAGTTCTCTACCACTACCTTGACATCATTTCTATATAGAAACTGATCTGCTTTTGTTCTGTAAAATAATTTGAATAAACAAAAATATGTAAAACTTTGCTAATTGTTTTATTCAGCTTTTCCACTGAAGTACTTATTCAGTAAATGCAAATTTTACAAACATTTAGTAATTCTCAAAGTTTAGTCTAGAGATCTCATCAGCATCATTCAACAAATTACTCAGATAAAAACAAAGATAATGCTGATCAATTCATTCTTGCACCACTAATTCTGAATTTTGGCTTTATGTTTTTTAAATAAAAATAACTCAAGTGCATTTTACTTTCAGTATTCAGTATAACATACCTTTGCTCGAATGAGGATGTATTCGCAATGTGGAGGCTTAAAAATAACTAGGGGTGGACAATATATCAGTATCAACATTGGTATCGGCCGATGTGTCATTTTTAACATATCTGTATCGGTTCGATAAATAAAACTGGGCCAATATTAACAACCGATAGTTTTTCCATCTCGTCTCCATTTGTTTGCCTGTTTCAGAGGGTGAGGGGGGTGATGTGTAACTGTTTAGTCATGTGAACAGTGATTGAAATCATCTCAGAACTGTAAATGTGTGTTGTGTGTACATAATAACGTAAATTCAGCTTTAATAATTTTCATTCTATCCAAAATGTGCTGATTTTAGAAGCATTAATGTTAGTATATCGGTATCGGCAAATATCGGTTATCGGCCATAACAATGATCTCAGTATCGGTATTCGCCCAAAAATATCATATTGGTGCATCACTAAAAATTACCCAATCATTTACGAAACCATGGGTGAACTGGAAGAGCGTCTCCAAAGATTGTGAAAAGGTTTGCGTTGTATGCGCTGACTCCACAAACAAGGTAAAAAAGAAAATCAGGGAAGGCCAAAGGTCGTAGATCTTTGGGGGTCTCTTCTCTACTGCTGTATTTATGGCTCCACAGTCCATCTCCAATACATTGAATTTTTCTAAATATTGTCTCATTGCATCCGGACACAATCTGTCTCGTTACAGTCTTTTTCCTTTTGAGTTGCTTTTGAGCATGGTTTGTTACCCAAATAGGCCAAACCATTTTGTTTTGGTTCATGGACATCAAAGATGGTGTCACACTCCCATAATGCAAATATGTCATGATGTCTGTTGCAAAGCTCTATTACAAATTAAAATGAATAAGTTTACATTTAAACAATTAAAATGACTAAATATTTGAAATTAACAAAATTTATGAAATCACAGTTTCCTTAAATAACCAAAAGGGATACAGTGGAAATTGTTACAGTGATGCGGTCAACGGTCCATAAAATTACTCAGTAGTGATCCCAGTTCTGCTTCGTGACCTAAGTAATCAGACTGACTGTGAGTGAAATAATTAGTAGCATTAAAGAATCACAGGCGCCATTTTACACTTAGGACTGCTTTATGACAAAGCTCAGCTGTTGCTCCAGCATATCTTGGCAACCTTTTGCATAGGCATGCCCCCTCGCGGCGGGCCCTTCGCTGAGCCGGCAGGGAGCTGTTGATCGTTCCACGCACAAATGGGCCATTCCCATCTGTAACGGGTCAGCCCGGGCCGGGTAGCCCCAGTTGGCCCCAGCCTGGCCCAGTTGATTCCACACATCCTTGCCTTAAGCCCATGTGGGCTGATTCTACCCACCAATCAGAGGCTTGCTCTAATGGAAGGTATGAATTTGCTGTCAGCAGTGGGTGTGTTGGCCCGGGTTTGCCTGAAGCAGACCCCCTCGAGAAGAGGGCTGAGAATGAGCCTTGATTGGCCCGGAAAAATATCAGGCCACCCAGATATGTAAACAACCTACGCTACCCGGCCCGGGTGGATGGGAATGGCCCATAAGTGCAGGTAACGGAGGGACCGAGCGTTCTCTGTGTTGGCACCTGCACTTTGGAACCAGTTGCCTTTGGTGGTGCGTCAGTCACCCTCATTGGGGGTTTTTAAGACTCGCCTTAAGACCCATTTTTTTGTCGAGGCTTTTCAGGATTAGCAAATTTTACCCGGTTTCGATGCCCCGGCCTCTTATTCTTTTTCTGGATTTTATTTTTTGCTTTTACTCTCCTCTTTTAACTGATTTTATGCTGGTTTTATGATTGTTATATTTTATTCTGATGGTTTTGTGTTTTTATTGTGTTGTGTTCAGCACCTTGGGCGTCTGCATTGGTCGCAGAAGGGGCTTTATAAATAAACGAAATGAAAATGAAATGAAGGCCTATTAATGATTAAAATATTACCATTGGCACTATGGAGACATAATTTGTATTGGCCTCACGCATGCTTGTGTTTTGTAGCAAGTTTTGTAAAATGTAACTTTTATTCTCTAACACATAACGTTCATTTTGTAACACGTAACTTTCATTTTGTAGCGTGTAATTCATGTTTTGTAACACATAACTTTCATTTTGTAACACGAAACTGTTGTTTTGTAGCATGTAATTCATGTTTTGTAACACGTAACTTTCATTTTATAACACTTGACTTTCATTTTGTAACACGACTTTCATTTTGTAACACTTGACTTTCATTTTGTAACACGTAACTTTTGTTTTGTAGCATGTAATTCATGCTTTGCAACACATAACTTTCATTTTGTAACACGAAACTGTTGTTTTGTAGCATGTAATTCATGTTTTGTAACACGTAACTTTCATTTTGTAACACTTGACTTTCATTTTGTAACACGACTTTCATTTTGTAACACATAACTTTCATTTTGTAACACTTGACTTTCATTTTGTAACATGAAACTGTTGTTTTGTAGCATGTAATTCATGTTTTGTAACACGTAACTTTCATTTAGTAACACATAACTTCCGTTTTGTAGCATGTAATTCATGTTTTGTAACACATAACTTTCATTTTGTAATACGTAACTTTCGTTTTGTAGCATGTCTTTGTAACTGTAGACTGAAGTGTGTGTTTTGAGAGTTGTGATTTGAAACTTGCATATAGATTTTTTTTGGCAAGTTACAAAATGAAAGTTTTATGTTAGGTACCAAAAGTTACGTTACAAAACAAGACTTACATTCGTCTCTCGTCTCTCGTCTCGTCTTCCTCCGCTTATCCGGACTTACATTCTATAAAACAAAAGTTATGTGTTACAAAATGTTAAAAGTTACAAAACTTGGTACAAGTTACATGTAATATTGTCCCCATCCTAGCTCCATATTTGATTAACCACATTTCAGAGAAACAGAGGTTATTTCTGACCAGACTGACAAGCTAACCACTAGTTGTTCTGGCTGCAAAGTGGATTACCATAATCTATAAATAGCTGTAATAATTAATGATTGAATAGACTTCCATATCTCTAGTTTAAAATCCTTTATGCTGGTTTTATTTAGCCTGAGTTCTTTTATTTCTTTCTGGTTGTTGTCAACAGAAATTAGCAGCACCACATCTTAAGAGGTGAATTTGTCTTTGCAGTCTCATTTAACACCCAACCTGAGGGTCTGCCTGCGGGAACACAAACATCCAAACTCATTTCACGCATTGTTTAAGGAATTAGTGCAGAATGACAGCAGCAGCTTGGCCCGCTCTGACAGAACCCTGGCAGCTCCCTGCTCCTGAATAAGATAAGTGTCACCGTGCATGGAGCTGCACATCCATACTTATAGGAGTTATTTTAGTGACACAAGGCCCTTTGTGTTCCTGTGCTGCTCTGACAACAGGCCACTGTTGAACCCACTGCTAGCATGCAGATTCTGTGGTGCGGAGCTACACCCCATCTGTCAGTACAGTGTGGAGATTGTCTCGGTGGGAGGAATGCGCTGGATGTCCTCTGCTGTGGGAGCTTTAGCAGATTGAACAGTTTACAAGCAGCGTATTTCCTTTTCATAGGCACAGTCGCGGTGTGAGGATTGTAGGTTGCTGGAAAGGAAAATGTTGCCATGACGTTCCAGACGGGTGCAGATGAGGATCAGTCTGGTGTTGTCTACTTTAAAGTTGAAATAATTAAAAGCCTCTGCCCCAAAGTAACCATGCACGATGCAGGAGGAGTTATTTGGGTAACAAGTGCACTGGATCAATGCACGTCTTTAATCTCCTGTTTCCTGGAGTGATTCTCACTAAAACATGTAATTTTGTCTCTGCTGGTGTCCCCTGAAGCAGGAAGGGCCCGGTTCTCTCTAAAGGGGCCCATTGTGTTTGCTCTGGTTTGTTCTGTGCCATGCGGGCCCAACCCCATAGATGACCCTTGTTGTTTCTGCGCAGGCCTGGTCCAAGCAGATGCCAGCCAGAACAATGGCCACATCTCGGAGAAGCCGGCGGTGACAGACTCCTCGGGCGCTGAGGGCCCCCACCAGCTCTGGACCTCAGCCAGCACAGCTGACCTTGACGCCGCCACGCCACGCCCCCACCTGGTCCGCCTCTTCTCCCGAGATGCTCCGGGCCGGGAGGACAACACCTTCAAAGAGCGACCCTCCGAGTCGGATGAACTGCAGACCATCCAGGAGCACAGCGGAGCGGCTTCAGAGTGCGGGTCGGAGAGCCCCGAGCAGGACTTAGATTAGGCTGACTTTTGTTTTTTTCTTTCCCTCTCCTCTCTTTCTGTTCCTTTTCCATCTTTGCGCTTTGCTCTCTCATTTACGAGAGGCGCTTAAGTCCCCCCAACGTTCGACGAATAAAAATCAACCAACCAACAACAACCATGGCTTCAGCTAGCAGCTCTGCTCAGGCCGCCTTCGGACTGGGCCGCAGAAAGAAGAACCCCGGGCTCTTGGATCAAATTGGGAAGTTCTTTGGAGGAGACAAGAAGAGGAAGGGCAAGGTGAGGAAGAGGAGGGTGAGTCGAGGTTGAATAACGCTCGACCCCTCGGGTGTGTGTCATTTCATTTAACCAATTCTCCCAGAACTCTTTTACTTTGGATTCTTTAACACACGTGAGATTTTATTGCTTTAGTAACCTTGTGGTGTGGTTCTGTTGTTCTGATGGTGAACCAACGTCTGGTACCGTTCTGTGATCCTGCACAGGAGAGTGACTTTTCTGTCCTTACTTTAGTATGGTTTGTTTTTATTTGAATGGTACTGACATGAGTAGCATTTCTTCAGACGATGTGATGTTTGAGCATGTTGCTGCTGATTACAACAGCCGTGTTTCCCTTCAGGTACCTCATGAAGATGATGTTAAATATTAGAAGTCCGCATGTGGATCATTAGGGCCGGATTATTGTTGGATTACCTGGTGTAAAACATCTGTTGGAGTGGCTGAGAGGGAGATAAGGTGCTGTTTACAGAACGCCAGTCAGTCTATCACAGTCAACTAGAGGTGATCAAAGAAATATATTTATATTTTATGTGTAAAGTATATTAGAGTTTAAGCTTTAATTCCCTTTTTTTAGACTCATAGATGAAAGTTTGTGTTCTGAAATGTGATAAAACTCATTTCGTGTTGCAGATTTGAGCCCACGTGGATTTCTGTTTGCTTTTACCTGTTTTATTGTGACGTTACTATGCTAGCCCCACTGTCTAAGATGTCTAAAACAGATGAAAAGAAAAAAATCCACAATGTTTTTTTTTATGTTTTTCTTTTAATATTTGGAGTTGCTTTGGTTCTGTTTGAGCCCCCTCCCATAGGCTGTGTGCTCAGCAGCGCCCCCCGGAGCACACGGGCTTATATGACAGCATTCTGGAGCCACTGTAGATGTTAACTAAGAAATGGGTGGAAGGGGGAAATTCAGGAAAATATCTCAGAAGTGTCAATATTATTAAAAAAAATACTTGGTTGTTCTTTCATGTTGGAAAATTGCAGATTTGGTGTAAAATTTTCATTTTTTTTTTCATGTTTAAATGTTGGAATAAAAAGGTGCTGATAATTATTTTAAAGGAAAATCTTACGGAAACGTTTTTATTTTCTGAGATCGTATTTTTCTCAGAAATGTAAAAAAGTGGCAAGAATTCAGTGGGATTAAAGAAGGATGTGGATATTTTCTGAGGATTAAGCAGGAGATATACTGGGGGAAAGCTCGCTCACAATTAAATAATCTGAATAAATACTAGATTTTATTTTTTTAAATCTTCAGGTTTTTCCTTTTTTTCCCATTTATTGTTCACAATCTTGTTTATTTTATTCTTATAAATTTACAGCTTAATTTACTGTAAAATTGTCTTTCTCACAAATGAAAGCCTTCCCAGCATCAGAAAATATCCATATTTTTCATCTAAATGAACTGAAATAATCTTAAGATTTCTTTCAGATTATTTTTATTTTTTTAACCCAACCCTGGTCCTGATACACCATCATAGTTGGTAGTTGTCAGATTAGACGCTTCCTTAACCATTAGACCCTGCAGAATCACTAAACAGCTCTAAAATATGCATTTCCCTCGCGCCTTATTCCACATATAAACTAGTGTTCAGAGCAAGAATCAAGGTAAAATTATTTTAAAGCTATGTGGCGTCTCTGTTCTTTAGCTTGCTGATCAGACTCTATTTAACTCAGATATTCAGGGAAAAGTTCAACAGAACAAAGTACAAAGTGGCTGCCATATTTGTTTGATTCTCTCATTCTTTTGTGCCATAAGTTGCGTGCTCTTCCTCCTTTTATTCGTAGCAACTTTACCAAAAAAAACAAGAAAAAAAACTACTTGTATAGATAGATGTGTGTTCACCAAGGATTTGCCTTCAAACAATTAAATCTCAAGTAAAAGTCTGAGCAGTTGGCCCACCTCTGTTGCCTCTAGCAAATAAACTGCACTATCTCTCTGCTGTAAACATCTACTTCCCAATCCAGATTTCATCTGATATGTTCTTAATCTGCCTGTCCGTGTGCATGCAATCTCCACTGATATTCTCCACTTAGACCATAGATTCAGTATTAAAGCGAAGGTTTGAACATGCATGTTTATTATGGGATGTTTAATTGTTTCGATATGTTGGTAACTGTGGAGTCATCAACACTCTAGTTTCCTGTGCTTTTTAATGTCTTTTCAATCTGTATTTTAATAATTAAAGCAGGTGTTTTGCAAACATCTGCATCAAGTCTCCAGCTGTTCGCTAATGAGTTTGTGATCATTTCAAGCTAATCGGAGAGGATATTGAGTTTGCATAAACAGGATCTCTTTAAGCAGAAAGTAGGACTGACAAATAACAGAATGTTTTTTTTTCTTTCCTTTAGTTTACATTTTATTTTGTTGAGTGGAACTCAGAATCAGTCATTAAACGCTACACAGGAGTGAGTCTGGCTCCTACCCGACCAGAAGGTCCAGACTCGGTCCGTGTTCTAACCCCAGTGTCTTGTCTGAGGGAGCGGAGATCTGACTCTTCCTCCATCAGTGGTTTGCTCTGCTCAGGTTGAAGAGTCTTTGACCGTGTGTGTGTGTGTGTGTGTGTGTGTGTGTGTGCGTGCGTGCGTGCGTGTGTGTGTGTGTGTGTGTGTGTGTGTGGACCCGCTGTTCCCTAACGCCTCCATGTTGCATGAGATAACTGTAAAGCTGTTCCTTGTCTCATCCTGTTCCCGAGCTTTTCCAGTTCCTGCTGATTAAAGTCTTTAACAACGGCTGAAGAACTCTGGTTTTGATTTGATTTTGAATTTTTATGTTTCCTGTTTTGTTCTGTTGTTCAGCTGTGACTGATGGGCTAACAGCTAGTCTGGCTGGGGTCTGAATGGGCAGACTGATGCTTGTTCTGATCCTGGTTCTGGCACTACTGAAGGTTTCTCCCACTTTCCACTGTCCCTCCTCGTGATGCTCTTAACAAATATATATATTTTATTTCCTTATTCAGGAAAGAGCTGACAAACTAACATTTTATATTCTTAAAGGGTAAAATATGCAGTTTAGGCTTGCTTCTAGCACCTTCTAGAGTCTGTTATTAATTACTTGTTGTTAAACCAGAATTGAAACTTATCCTCGCTGTACGCTTGTCTTTTTAACACCTCATTCTAACAGCCGGAATGTCTGAAACATGCAGGAAACGTGCTGGAAGCAGACCGCAGCACTAGCTTACCAAGCGGGATTGGTCCGGATATTCTGAAGTTGCAAGTGCAATATTCTGGTCACAGGGGGGTCTGAGTGACATATTATTAATCCTGTAAAGCAACGATTCTCAATCTGGGATACGGGACCCGCCAAGGGGTCCCCTCTAGATTGCAGGGGGTCCCCACAATTTTGTCTGTGCTGAGGTTGTGAGGTGCAAAATTTTATTTGTAAAAGTTACATTTATAAAATCCAAATAACACACCAAATAGTATAACCAAAGCTCTGTAAAATAGTTGTATAATGTTTTGTATGCGGGTAGGAGTTGTGGTTGGGGGTCCTGGTTTATCTTGGACACAGCAAGGGGGTTCTCAAGGATAAAAGGTTGGGAGCCACTGCTGTAAAGGGTCGTTTTAGCACATAGTGCCTCAAGAAAACAATGTAAAACCCTGAAAAAGTTGCATAGTATCCCTTTAATAGATCTAATTCTGTTACAATTCAATTTACTGCAGCCATTTGGCTTGAATCTGGACCTGAAGAGCAGGACTTGTTGATTTCTGTGACGCATTTTGAGGCGACTTTAGTTATGAACGAGCTACATAAATTAGAGAAGAGAAGAAGTGTGTGAAAAGTTTAGTTGATCAGTGAGCAAGAGTAGAATGTATGGAATGCTAAAAGGGTCATAATTAGTGAAGGCAAGTGCCAAATGAACTGATAAAAAAGTAAATCACCAGGTCAAAACATTTAGACTTTCTTGTTTTGACCCTGATCTGTGGATCCTAAACCAAGTTAATAATGTTTTATGAGGCTTTACTTTGCTGGAAAGTTTAAAATTAGTCATTTCATTTGTCTGACTGTGACTAGCTGTTAGCTCATCATTCTGTTGAAAACTGACTGATTTTCTCCAAACTGAGGCTGTTCACAGAGCTGGCACGTTTTAACTCTTTATAACAGAATCCTCCCTGAAAGTATCAAAACCAGCATTTTAACATCCATAATCTAATCAGTCCGCTATCTCTGACCTCTGGTTCTAAGACGATGCATCTTTCTGATTTGTAGAAAAAACAACCAGACGCAGAAAACGTCTCTTTGTCTTCGGCTTCTATCATAGAAAATAGACATGAAGAAAGTCCTCTCTATCACATAAATGTGCTGCAGAGCAGAGGGCGTTACGGAAAGCAGAGCTACTGTTTATCTGCACTCTGACGGAGCTCAGTAATGGATGACACACTCAGTTTGTTTTTGTGTGCCCAAAGAAATAAACTGCTAGAAAATAAATACAAATGTTTGCAGACCGTCTGCCAGAAGGGCGGTGTGGAGAAAAGGGAACTGAAATAAAAAGATTTGGACTGAATTCAGAGATTTGAGCCATGAAATAAGCTTCATCTAAATGTTTAAGACTAAGTTTAAATCATTTTACCAGAAATTAAATGTGCTATTTATAATTTTGTTTTTGTTTTACAAGGACACTGTTTTGTTGTTAAAGTGCCAGCTGTGCAAGAGGGAGTTCTGTTGTCCATATATTAGAGATTAGTTCAGGTCAGATTGATGAGCTAACAGCTAGTCAGGCCAAGGTCATCAACTCTAATGCAAAAGCTGTTTTGTAATTGTTTACAGTTTTGGATTGCTCTGGTATTTTGGCAGAAATATGAAATTCCTGCTGAGGTTGAATTGGAAAAGTTTCAGGTTTTGCTTTTGAAAGCAGAATTCTGCACAAATCTCTATTTTTTTTCACAGACTGAGCTTGTTTTGAAGTTGCAGTAATCCAAATTGTTCTGGCTCCAAACTAGCTGTTAGCTTATTAACCCAGTCGACTCTGCAGCAGATGAACTGCTTTGTTCATAAAATCTAAATTATTGTTTTAAAACAAAACAAAAACCATTTTAATGTACCATATCTCCTTTCTGCTATAATCCATATATAATGCTTACAACCATTCCCCCAGATTTCACCTGACAGATTATTAAAAGCACGTCTTATTTCCATCCTATAATCAGTTCTTTCTTGTGCTTGAGTGGGTCTCTGTGACGAATGTTAAACATCCAGGAGAGTTCAGTGGGAATAAAAGTCCTGTCACCAATGTGTCTTTATTCTGCTGCTGTGGGTAAATAAATGATGTTATCTTCTGTTTGAGTGAAACACTGGTTCCTTTACATTTTAAACACGTATTATTCTGGGTAAACATCACAATCTTGCTCCTCCGACACAAGCGAAAGGTGTGTGAGGTCTCTTTTAAACCCTGAAAGTCACTAATTCTGAGAGGGCCGTTAACCAACTTTGTGCTAAAGAGCTAAATAAAACGTAAAAGCTTTATTTTCCACACTGGAGCCTCTGAAAAACACAGATCTGTGGGAGAGAGATGAAGCTGAAACTCCCCACAGGTTCAGAGTGTTGTTGATTAGCAGCAGCTTTCCTGTCTGGTGAATTTAGATTTTCCTTCTGGCAGATTTACCTTCAACATTTACAGATGTTTGGTTTTGCTGCCTGTAATAATAAAACCAAATCTACATGCTATAGTTATATCTAGTTTATTTGCATCTTATTGGTGCAATACTGACAGAGTTCACTCATGATGCCAACCTGACAAACATTCAGTGTCCGATCCAGACCCAACCCAACCCTCAGGGAACCGGACCCCAGATCAGCAAACAGAACCTGAGTCCAAGCAAAACAAAACAGTTTTCAATTGATGATGTCATTTATCAGAGGAACAAATCTACCTGAACCAGCCTGGTTTTGTGTAGAGACCCCTTGGACTTGATGAGTCTGTCACGTCTCTGTGGAGCACTTCTGCTCCTCTCTTACTTACACAATAATTCTCATTCAACCACATTGGAGGGTTTCCCAGCCTGTTTAAGATCAGATGTTCTCCTGCATGACTAGCAGCAGAGCAGCCCCAGACCATTACACTACCACCACCATGTCTGACTGTTGGGATGTTTTAGTGGTTGTTTAGCTAGATGGAATGGGATGCACACAGAACATTCCACTTTTATCTCATCAGTCCACAGAATATTATCCTAAAAGAGCATCGGGATGTTTTTAAGTAAACGTGTCTTGTTTATGGTCAGCAGATGGCCTTCAGGCTCTCCCACAGAGGCCATGACGGGTTTTCTCTACTGTTTTCTACTGCAGCGATTACTTTCATCCTACAGGTCTGGCAGTAATTGGCCTTGGGTCAGACTGAACTCAGCTTCCAAACAATGTGGTTGATGAGTTAAAAGGAAACTAAGCAGTGTGGCTTAGGAGCGGTTCCATACTAAAATTAAACAAATCAGCTGTGTTCATGATCTAAAACATGCAGGAAATGTGCTGGAAGCAGACTGAAGCGCCAGGCATGTTAGCTCCACTTTTACTTTTAGGTGTTTCCCATTTGGTACCGCTCGGCCCGGCCCGCATTGCTTTCATACCTGGGTGGCCTGGTACTTTTCCTTCTCCTACCGTTGTTTTTTTTTTTTTTTGGCCCCTATCATCCGGTGGTCCACTCAGGGCTGGCCCAGGCAAGCATACCCACTACGACTGATTGGTCGGCTCAAATACACGCCTACCATTAGGGGGAGCTTCCTATTGGCGGATTGAATCAACCAATTCATTATCACCTCTGATTGAAGCGGAGGCTGCTCTCTTTTTCTCACTGCTGTGAGGAGCGCAGCAACACCACCATTTTTCTGCTGAGTTGTGTTTCTGTGTAGCATACAGATCACCTTACACGCGTCACTCATCACCTCATGCTACTTTTGTGTGGAGTAAAGATCGCTCTCCCCACCCCCACGGACTTCTACACACACTTACCCCGGGTTTCCACGGGAGCCGTCAGCAGCACGTTACTGCAGCAGCACGTCTTGCTCGCGTAAGCTGCTGCTTGGCCCTTCCCACGAGACGCGAAGCAGCAGGGGAGCAGCTGTCACCGACCGAGCACGAAGTCACACGAGTGACTTCGTCAGTAAACACAATAACAAGCAGGAGAAAATTACAACATGGTTTGTGTTTTATGTTCTGTCCGTTTTATAATCGCCAATACGGACCTGAAAAACAAAGGAGACCGCTAGCTAGGTGATAACTTCTCACGGGGACGCACAGTTAGTAACATTTTTTAAAAGTAAAGCAACCGGAAGGCAGCACGTTCTTTATTCTGAAAATCTCTGTAGCTTCTCTCCATTTCCGCGTCCGATTTCCTGTCTTTCCTTCCCCAAAAATGTCGAACTTGACCCGTTTCAGAGGCGTCGCACGTAGAAAATAGAACCGGCGCGTGACATGCTGCTCCTGAGACGCGGCCGACTCGCGCTGCTGACGGCTGCCGACGGCTCCAGTGGAAAAGGTTCTGTTGACCACAGCGGTTCCTATCAGCAGCTATGACGTGCTGCTGCAGTAACGTGCTGCTGACGGCTCCCGTGGAAAGCCGGGGTCACACACACACACTCATGGCCGGACATTTTCATGCATCTTTTGCCCCGCCCACGTGCAAGTGCGATATCCTGGCGACAGAGGGTGGTGGGGGTCAGAGTAAAGGGTCATTTTAGCATATATTGGCTCAAGAAAACGATTTAAAATATGAAAAAATTGCATAGTATGGCCTTGATTAATGACTTTTTCACACAGGAACAGGCTGGTTTGGTAGCTTTTATCTCCAAAAGTTTACATTTGAAAACAGCATGTCATGCACACTCAGTATCTTCATAAACAATCAACATTATTCATGTTTTGTAAACTTTGGAGGTCCTGACTGTTGAAAAGGGATGGCAGATTTCTCCAGACTTTACCAGAACATTGATTTATTTTAATAAATCCTTCATCAGCGACACAGCAGCAGCTGGCAGGAACCTCATTTAGCTGCCATCACTTTCCACTTTCCACTCACAGAAGGAAAAGTAAAGGGGAGGACAAAAACGGAACAAATGCAGAGCCGAGTGTCCTCTTCAAAGGTAATGGTGGTTAAAAGTGAGACTGAATTAGGACAGTTCCTTCAGAATGATCTGATCTCCTCTTTCCTTTCCTGTCCATCCCTTTCTCCTCCTCTCTCCCTTTAAACAACCGTGGCCATCGCTCAGGTTGCTTCTTTCTCACAATTATTTTTCTTTATGTCTCTTTTTCCCATCATTTTCTACATTTGTAGAGACGGGCCATGTACAACAGACTTAGAGGAGGACATCATTAAGGCACCTCTACTCAGCCTAGAAGGAAATAGAGTTCACTCACCGATGTCAGTAGCAAAGGAAAAGTAGAAATAGTTGTAATGAGAGGCTACCAGGTTGTTTTTTGCTCTTTTTTCTTTACTTCTGTATTCTTGTGTTTATGGGACCAACTTCAAAACACCCATACGAGGTGGAGCAGGTTCCTCATGAGGGGTAATAGTGGTGGTGCTTCTGACAGAGCCCCCACCCACCCCCCCTTGGGTACTTTAAACCCCTTTGATGCTGTGGAGACATAATGGATGAGAATCGCAACACACACACACACACACACACACACACACACACTGCACTGCAGCTTTTATCCCTCTCACCTTGTCTCTGGGTTAAATGATTATTTTCTAAATGCTTTATATTTTTGACTCAAAGACAAAACCATAAAAATCGTATTAAACACTCACCTTAATGTCTTTCTGAACCTGCTGTAAAGCTCTTGATCTGGTGCTTGAAGCTAATTAGTCTTTTCTGTTAAAATGAACCCGTCATCTTGTTAGTTTGCACCATTTTAATTACTAATTGTCAAACATATTTTGTTACTGGGTAGAATTGACCTTGTTAAATGGTTCAAATGTTCATTTTTCCTCATTAGATTAAATTAAATTACAATTTCAAACAAACATCTATTTTTTTGTCCTTCAGTTCCAAGTTGTAACCTTGGAAAGAACACACAGAAAATTAGACCCGAGCAGAAACAATATTTCGAAATAATTTCTAAAAACAACAACGTAGCACATGCATTGCTTAAGCTGCTTAAGCATTCAAAATGCTGTTTGAATGCTGAAGCTACTTAAGAACCAAAGTGAATGCTTAAATTGGGCTGAAATGTCTTTCAAGTTAGGCTCCGTATTCTATGAGTGCCTTTAAAGCTAATTGCGTATTATTTTCACAAAAAAGGCAGATATCTAAAAAATGTTAAAGATATCAACACAGAAGTCCTGAATGCGTTGGTACAAAATTGAAATCTGTCGAAGGACGGCAAAAACGTATGAAGAAATATTGAAACTGTAAAGAGAAACAGGAATACTAATTTTAATCTTTAAGCATTCAAACAACAGTAATGATTATAACGAATAATTTCCCAACTCAGTTGTAACATTATGGGAAAAAAAACTTTTCCCTTTATAAAAGGCACATTTCTTTCTGATGGCACGTGTTGGTGTTGCTGGTTAGTACTGGTTTCTTCATACATCAGTAGGTCGTCTCCAGTTTCCTCCCATTGTTCTTGCAGGTTGGGGTGTTAGTGGTTTCTCCTCTCCAGCTGTAGGTCCAGGTTGTGCCTGCGGAGATCTGGAGCATCTCTGTGCTGCTGAATCCTGTGACACACTAACCACACGTTTCTGATGGATACCCAGACACCAGGAGTAACAGGCGGGTGTGCTGCACCTCTGCTTCTCTTCCAGGGTTCTTTCCGAGGTGCTCTCTCTCCAGCCCCTCAGAAAGCATCAGTGACCTCACCGCGTAAACGTGGAGCAGAGAACGCCGTGGTCCACTTCTTCCGTACGATCGTGAGTAATGCCCCCGAAGAGCAACACCTCTCTAACACGTCAGGAGAGTCAGAGTGCTTCAGCAATGTTAGAGCACGCCTTCCTTCTGTTCTTCTTCCATGTTTTTCTGTCTGACTCTGTATCACTCACCAAGTCAAAGCCTCTTTCCTGTCTACTTGTAACTCTTCTCCAGGTGTCCCCCGCCCCTCCCAAGTCTAGGGTGAGTAGTGCTTTATGTTCCTCCAAGTTACAGACATTAGAGCAGGTAAGGATTCATCTCAGCGATGATAGGGATTCAGGGAAAACTTCCAGGGAATTTAAATGATAAAAGCTCTTAATGGAAAATTAATGTTTCTATTCTGGAGTTGTTAACGGATGTGAGCATCCACCTGCTTTGCTCTTCTCCTCCTTCTCCCTCATGTATCACCTGAACTCCTCCTCTGCCTGACTTTCCCGTGATCCCTCCCTTCCTCTCCCTTTGGATGGACTTCCCACCTCCTCCTCCTCTCCTTCCCATCATGCCTTTGTGCTGAGTAAGTTTGTTCTGTCTCTTGTTTCTCTGCCCTCCCAGTGGAGAGGACTAGCCACCAAGATAGGCCTGGTAGGTGGTTCTAAAACCGCCAGATAAAAGAACTCTTCACGTTTTTAAAAGATGTCATTCCTTAAATTCTTTAAGGAGAATGATCGCCATATCTTTTACATCATATCTCCAGAGGTGTGACGTTGTGGCATCATCAAGTCATCTCCATGTCATGTTTTTGTTCTGCTCAGCAACTGAAACAAGTTAATTCACTGTGCTGATTGAAATCACCTGGTTTAATTGCTGAGCAGAACAAAAACATGACATGGAGATGACTTGATGATGCCACAATGTCACACCTCTGCTTATCTCCATCATCCACCTAAGCCTCCATAATCTGTCCATCCATGCAGCAACGATAAACACATAATGAGCGACTCAGGTGTGTGTCAACTCTCTCATGATGGGCTGGTTTCTCAGTGTCATCAGCTTCTGTCATAGATCCTTAACTCTGCTCTTCATCAGACACGCCTCATTCTAGAAGTCTGGATGAGACTTAACGTTATCAGCTCCTAATTTAACATCCTCCAGTGTGTGTGAGTGTGTGTGTGAATGAGTGTGTGAGAGGCAACAGAAAAGTTGTTGGGGATTAAAACAGGATAAAGCGTTTTTACAGCAGAGCTGACCAATGTGTGGAGAAAAACAGAGGAAGCTGATTTTAGATGAATTATGACCTCATTTATATTACATCTCAAGATTCCTTTCCTGTATTTTTTATGAGAATTTTATTTTAATCACATTTATTAAACTTGTACCAAAGTTTTGGCTTGCCAAGCCACCTAGTCTGGCCACGACCCATAGACAGAGCTCAGTCGTGGGGTGGAATCTACGGTTGTCTCTGCATGCTATCGGACATCGTGCAATACAACGTTCTCACCACTTCGGTTGTCAGTCCGCGGGGAAATCCACCACACACTGTAGACATCCTTTTTCTAAATAAAGGACATATCTCTATCCGCTCTCGACTCAAACAATAAACCAAGTCTAAATATTCCAAAGTTGATGCCAAAACCATTTCAAACTACTCGCCATCAGTCGCAGTAACATCCCGCCCACTAAACTGAAAGATTGCTGTGATTGGCAGGACGCAAAACTGATCCGGCCAATGGAAGACACACTGAGGCTCTTATGGAGCGTGGCGAGACCGACCAGCAGAGCAAAATCCTTTTGCTTCTGCAACAAGTTGTCTAGATTTCCAGGTTACCAAACTTTAGCATCGGGCACTAATCATCAGTGCAATAAATTTTCATTAGATTTGAGACTGCCATTTAAAAGTGTTAAACAGCTATTCAAGAGCTGCTTTCTGCGAGGGTGCTGATAGTGAACATGGATTAAAGCCACCCATTGGCCGTGTACGGCAGGAAAATTATATTTATAGTAATAATATAGTAAATATAATATTATAATGGGATTAGTCTGTAAAATCTAAACAGGTTTAGTTCATCTGAGGGAAGAGTTTGTGTTTTCAACCAGTGGTTCCCAACCTTTTATTATGAGGATCCTGTTTCCTGTGTCCAAATCAACTCAGGGCCCCCCAACTCCTACATGCGTGCACACAATGACAGTGAATAATTACAACCTTTATACAGACATACAGAGATATGCCTCTCACACAGAGTTTTGATTGTACTATCGGGTGTGCACACCAATATTAAGAATTAGTTGTTTCATTTAACCCTTTGATGCATACTAGTCACTACAGTAGACAGGGACTCATAATTGTTATTTATTTATTTTTTGCTATTAAGCACAGCTTTTGATGACTTTATTGCATTTGAGCCCCTCCATTTGGACTTCAGTGAGTCAAGCCAACATGTTTCATGCTCAGAATGCACCCTGTACACTGAGGTGGACATGTAATAAATTATATGTAAATTATTAAATGTTACAAAAGATATTTGTTGAAATTTGTTTCATCCGCACCCAAAGATGAATGAAAAAAAAATGTTGAAAAAATCAGGGTTGAAGATTTCATAATTCATGCATCAAACGGTTAATTGAAAATAATCAATGCAAATAAAAGCCAAATGAGGAAAAAACAGATCCAGATTGGCAGTTTCTTTCACGTCTCTAAATTAAAATAAACAACAAAATGAGGCTAAATTAATATTAAATATCTGAATGAATTTTTCATTACAGGTTTTAACAGGTGTGATTGGAATTTTTCTATTTATATGTTTACTATTTCCTACAACAGAAATCCATGTTTTATAGGAAAAATGCAAATAAAGAAAACATCTTGAAAACGTTCCACACTTTTTATATAATTGAATAAAAAGTCTTACGGAACCCCTTCTGGAGACCTAACTGGACTCTTTTGTACAGTAGAATCTGGGCTCGATTGGTTTTCCTGCTGATCAGATCCTCTCCTACTGAGGAGGCTGAGGAGAAGGATGTATAACCTCTACATCCCAACCTTCTGCTCCATGCAGCAGTGACAGCTTTCTGAATTTTTCTCCACTCTTGACTGAACTCCAGATTAATCTGTGACTCTGCGGAAGGACGGCCATGTCTCAATCCCTTCAGGAAAAGTCAAAGATGAGTCAAACTTTCCTGTTTTCTCTCTGCCAGGGACCCCAGAAGTCAAGCAAGAAGGCCAGTGCAGGGGACGGCAAAGGCACCCTGACTAGGATCTTCAAAATGGTAAAAAGAAAAACATCCTTCACAAACCGTTATTCCACATCATTCCTTTATGCTGCTTTTCCTTCCCGGGAATCAAACACTTACAGAAAATGGATTTCCTCTCTCATCCCGTTCTTGCCCCTGTTTTTCTGTATTCCTCTCTGCCTCAGTGATGATATCAGCAGCAGAGTGAGTAAATGATTCACAACGGAGGGACACTTGTGTTTAACTCGCTGCATTTGTTCAACACTGATATGCTTGGAAGGCATCATAATGTCATCGCTGCAGCAGCAGAATAATAACACCGGGGCTTTTAGACACATGATTGATGGTGGCGCTGCTGAAGAATCAGCCTGAAGATGGTTGATCCGGTTTTAATGAGGCTGCCGCTAACAGACAGAACCTGCTGATGCATTATTTATGTCTGATTAACAGTCAACCAGTGACCACACAGGCTCCCTCACACGGACTGGTACTCACTTATTTTATTTGGGTTCATTTTTTTTAGCCAAATCTTTTTGACTAATTCAAATAACATCTTTTTACTTTTTGGCTGTCACTGTCCAGTGTGAGTCACAGATGCTCAAACACTCAAAACAAAACAGCTCCTTTAGTCCCTGATTGAGATCTTCCTTCTATGTTTATCTTTTAATATAAATCCAGGACCATCAGCCGCGGGCACTTTTATCCTTTATCTGGTGCTTCAGACACCTGGAGGTCCAAGTCAAATGCTAAGGGTAAAGCACAGCATTAGTCCAGATGTCACCAAAACAGATCATGTGTTGTTGTTATTGCTTTTGAGAAATGCAGGCTGTTAGCTTGGTCCATTCAGTTCGTTAGGGACGCGTGAGAATGGGAACATTATTATTATGTTAAGGCTGACCAATCAGAGTCAAGCGTGTGACTTTACTTGGACAATGACTTGAGTCTAAAATCTAAACATGCAATATTTATTCTAGTTACTAAGATGATAGCCAGGAAATATTAACATGTTTTCAATTTAACTAATAAAACAATTAATCAGGGTGATAATTTATTAAGACCAGTGTCTCGCTGATTGTTGGTGACTAGATTCAACATTCAGGAAAAAGTTGTGCAGATTTTCAACTAGAACCAACCTGAATTGGAGAAATATTGAAACACAAACACACGCACACACACACACACACACACACACACACACACACACACACACACACACACACACAATCATGGTGTGGTTTTCATTATGAAATAACTAACAATAACAAAACATTTTAGATAAATTAATACTTCCAGCACATAACAGCCAAATATGAGCTGGGTCAATAAGGAGTCAGCCCCTAGAGGACATGATCTGAGGTGTATTTTCATTATTTTAATTGGTTCACCTGGAGGAGGTGGGAACTAAAACTTGTTCTGCAGCCTACCACTAGGGGTAGTTTTGGTCCTTTTTGACTTCAAATTTTGTAGTGTCAACATTTATTTATAAAATAATACCGGATTAAGATACACAGCTTCATGTTTTTTTTATTCTAGTCAAAGTCAGAAATAGTATCATAAAAAGGGAAAATTCATCCAGAACTACAATATAAAGAGTAAAATCACTCAGTTCCTCGTCGTTTATGAGGTCACAACATAAATAGTAACTAGAGTAATTGTGGGTTTCTTTTTTAATGACTCAAAGTTTTTCTGAAGTTAGTTGAAAATGATTTTCAATCTAAAAATAAAAACCTGAAACACACAAAGCAGAAAATCTTTCTAATCTGGTTCATTTGCACTCTTCAATTTTCATCATTTGGCAGTTTGCTTTTCATCAAATTGTTAGATTTTTGGGCATCTTTAGCTCACTGATTTGATTAGACAAGGAGAGAAGCCCAAGTCTCCCGAGGATGTCACTAAGCAACCAGAGAGTAAACAACTCTGAAGGCGATGGGAGCTATGATGGTGCCGTCTCAGAGGTTTTATACCACCAGTCCAGATAGAAGCAAGCTTGACTTCATTTCTATTCAGTCAGTGTCTTATTCAGGTTTTCCTGCTCCAGTACAGATAACTCCATTGACTGTATCTAAAAAGCTCCAGCTCTTCTCCCAGTATGGATAATCTGTAAAGATTCGTCTCATTTGTATAATCTTTCAGCCTCAGAATAGTCTCTTTTTTTTGCCACTTTTTTGATCTGAGAGCGTGGGAAAGAAATAAGAGCTGGAGAGGCTGAAAGCAGACAAATGTGGGAAAGCATGAAATTGTTGAAATTAAAAGCTTGCAATGAGGTTAACTTTGAAAGAAATCAGGTCAAAATTAAGACGACTGAATTAAATGATTAAATTGACTTTTATTTTAAAATTAAAGAGTCTAAATCTTAAGTGTAGCATTTTTGACTTATTTAAAACTGATGAACATACGAGTTTTCTGCTGCTTACGCAGTGACTCACCTACCTACCCTGAAATAATCCAGCTAATCCCCCAGCTGATCAAGGACGAAACCGTCCTTGATTTGTCTGCTTTAACTAGAAAATACAATCACTTCTGCTCTGTTAACATCTTTTATCTGCAGAGAACTGGGATTAGGCTTGGGTTACGTAAATCATATAAATGTATACCTTCTTTAGAGAAGAGCAGCACGCAGGTTGAAAATATGAAATGTCTCCCTGATGGTGGTTTCTGCATCATTTCCTGCTAAGATAGTTTGAAATGAGGTTCTGCAAAATGTTACTGTAATGAACAAATGCCATTTTAGCTGCATTAAGTTTCTCTTTAACTGTCCTCTGTTTAGAGAAATAGTGATTAGCTCTGACTAGATTTGCGAACTAACAGCTAGTCTGAGCAGGGCTAACAACAGAGATTTGTGATGTTAAAACAACAAGCTACCCTATAAATCATCTAATCATTCATGTGAAGCATGGATATTTAGGTAGGGTTTCATGGTGTTTTGCTCACTTTAGCACTTCCTCTTCCACCTGGAGGCACTTCCTGTAGGGATTTAATGTTTCTACCAGAATAACCGTGAGATATGCATTATACCTTGAACGTAGTTCAACTTTCAGTGCTTACTTTGCTAAATAATAAGGTTCCACTCAAAAACATTTGAGTTAAGAGCTGCATTTAGTTAACCCACCTCTAGCTTAGCGTGTATGCTAGCAACCCTTCACACTAGAGCGAGATGATTCCTGAAACAGAAAGCTAGAATCTCACTGGGCTGGCACTGCTGGACATTTAAAATGTGAGGAAATATGCAGACTTCCACTTGGCATCACCACGAGTTGAAGCCTCCAACCTTTTTGTATTTGTTAAACCTGCAAACTCTCATGTAGATTATGTTGCTACTGGCTCCATACACACTACTGAATATTTCTTCCCTCCACGTGATCTGAGTTTTTAGAAAGAACAATTATTTTAATGGCATTTCCATGTGAACATAAGATATGGAGCTATACAGAAACTATAATGTAGCGTCCAGTTTGGCACATGCCCACATCTACGTTGTGCACAAACAACAAGTTGTCCTGAATGATGTTTCCTGATCTCGTCTCCATTAAACTTTAACTGTAAATTTTCTAAGAGGGAAATATCAGTTTTTTTTTTGCCAAGCTAAGAATGTTCTTTCTGTATATTTTGACATGTCTTTATTGTGTTAGCCAGGGTTGCAGTGGATGGAGGTATGTCCATCACATCATGAGTATTACCATAACCTGGTGAACGTTTGGAGACATTTTTAACTCTCTCCCAGGAACACTTCTCTCAGCGTGTCATCGAGTCGCTGCCCAGTGGGACGCCAGCTTTTCCATGAGCTCCTTCTCGATCTGATCCCAAATGTGTCTGTTTTCCAGGGAAGCAGGAGTTCTTCTCCAGCCAAACGCTGAAGCCCCCACCTCCTCCAACACCAAGAGGGTACCTGTTCCTGAGCACATGGAGGGGGAATTCAAGAAACTTTCTCCCAACTGTCTCCTTTTAACACTTTAATCCTATTACTGCCCTCCTCCCCACACACTCTTTGTGCTGATACATAGCCACACAATCTGCACCCCCCCCCCCCCCCCCACCCCCATCCTGCTATAAGTCTGTGCAGCCATCATCACCTGTGTGAACCGTACGCTGAAGCTGATCCTGAAGCCGCTCACATGTGCAGCCTGAATGACACCCCACCCCCACCCTCACCCCACACGTATTGTCTTATTTCTAACTGAAGGTGGCTACACGGAGCAGACCTGGGGTAGGAGGTAAAGGCCGGTGCAGGTCTGACTGACTGGACCGTTACTGCCGCTCCCTGATAGGCTGAAACCACCGGGCTGCTTCCGCGTTAGAAAAGAGCAGGTTTTTTGTTCTGTCTCTCTGTCTTTGTCCAACCTCTCCCAGCATGTTTGAGCTTTGTTTCTGTGGAAGATTAAACCCATTTAGCATAATCGTCTGTGACTTTGTGGTCATGATGTGTTCCCTCTTGTGTCCGAGCTGTAGTGAAGTGTCCTGTTATGAATGTGGTACTGATTTCAGATCGGCCTTTCATTTGATAAACATTTCTGTGATTTTCAGTCCAGAATCATGACACGACTAATGTCCACTTCCAGAACTGCGTTATTTTATGGTGAAGTTTTACAGCTTTAGTTTAATCTCCATATTGTTTTGTTCTTAAGTGCCTTTCCCCCTGATTACCAAAAAAAAAAAAAACTCAAATGCACTGCATCTTTTGGTGAATAATAAAGAAGAAAAAACACAATTTCAAAAAGGTGCTCTTTAACTAACTGGAATGATGCATCCTCTGGAATATGTGCGTTTTAAGTAAAACAAAAAAATGTTAATGTCAGCAGAAGAAAAGCTTGTCATAGGATGTGCTGCTGCATCCATCTTCCTAAAGCAGGTGTGTGAGTGTGAGTGTCATGTACAACATTCATCTATCGTAGTGTGTGTGTGTGTGTGTGTGTGTGTGTGTGTGTGTGTGTGTGTGTGTGTGTGTGTGTCATGAGATCCCTCATTGTTTTTTTTTTCTTTCTGAATGGATCCTGAGAATGAATGTAAACATCCTTCTCATATTGTATGTGTAATAAAACATGACCGACCATTTAACTGAAAATAAAAAGTAAAAACTATGAATACACCCAAGCCTCCGCCTCCTCAATCTGTCTTTATATATATATATATATTTTACCTGAAAAGAGGAAATGATTCATCATTATCACTGGAGTAAAGAAATAAAATACAACACCACAGTGGCAGGAAGTAGTACTACCAGGTCAGGTCGCCACATTGCAGCAAACAAAAGTGTGTCATATTTTCTTTCATGGCCCATGAGTCATTAGATAATTGTTATTCATGCCAAGCTTTTCCCAGAGGGAACATCTCACAGAGATGGGACTTGTAGTTTTCCAAAGACACATTCAGATATTTATGAGTGGTACAGAATGCCCAGGAGTCCAGGATAAATCAAAGCAAGGCAGCTTTATTTATATAGCACATTCATACACAAAGGCAATTCAATGTGCTTTCCATTGGCAAGGTCATCAACTACTTTAAAATCAGTGTGACAGAAAATACTATTTAGAAATGAATAAATAAGAAGGTTAAAGGGTGAGCAGTTACAGTACAGAATGTGCTGTACAAGAAACATTCATTCAAAGGCTGATGAAATCATGAAGGTTTTCATTTAAAAGTCACTATAGTTGGGGCACATATGAAGTCATGAGGAAGCTGATTCCATCTGTGTGCAGCATGGTAGCTAAAAGCAGCTTCACCCTGTTTGGTTCTGACTCAAGGTTCTACCAGCTGACTGTTTCCTAAGGATCTCAGAGCCCAGCTGGGCGTATATGAAGGAGATCCGACAAGTATTCTGGTCCCATGCCATTAAGTGATTTATAAATGAGTAAAAATACGTTGAATTTGATTCTGTAGTTTACTGGTAACCAGTGTAGAGATTTAAGAACAGGAGTGATGTGCTCGGTTCTCTTGGTTCTTGCTATGACTTTAGCAGCAGCATTCTGAACAAGCAGCAGTTGCTTCACAGCTTTTTTGGGATGAACAGTTAGACGACAGTCCAGCCTGCTGGTGATGAACACATGAATGAGTTTCTCTAGGTTTGTTCTGGACATGAGACCTCTGAGTTTTGCTATTTGATGAATATGATAAAATGTTGATCTAGTTATAGCCTTAATGTGACCAGTGAAGCTCAAGTCTGAATCAATAATGATGTCATCCTAGCCTGGGTCTTTGTCTTTATTCCTCTGGGGCCAAGCTGAGCAATAACCTCCATCCTATCCTTCTTTTTTCCTAATACCATGACTTCAGTCTGGTCTTTCTTTATCTGGAGGAAGTCTGACTGCATCCAGTCATTAACTTTCTCCAAACACTGACAGAGTGACTGCAGGGGACGACAGTAACTAGGTGATAGAGCTAGGTAGATATGGGTGTCATCTGCACAACTGTTGTTGTGTGACCTGACCCAGGGGGAGCATAAAGACTGAAGAGCAGTGGTTCAAGAATTGAGCCTTGGGGGACCCCACATGCCATGATAATCTGTCTTGATTTAGGATCACCAGTAGAGACAACATAATCCCCGTCTTCAAGATATGATTGAAACCAACTATGGACTGAGCCTGAAAGTCCCACCCAGGTTACGAGCCTATCAAGAAGGATGTTGTGGCCCACAGTATCAAAAGCTGCACTGAGATTGAGCATCATTAGATGTTTTCCCTGAAACTGCATTTACATCATAATCATTTAACACCTTAAACTGTGCTGTTTCAGTGCAGTGGCGTTGTCTAAACTGCCTTAATGGAAACTGAAAACTCAGAACATTTAACCAAATTTACTGTAAATAACCACAAAGGCAACCCGAGGTCACTAATTAACCAGTTAAGCTGTTATTTGCTGTTCATGGCAGTGGCAGAAGCAGCTGTATCAGCACGGTGGAGTCAGCTGAAGGAGCGAGTGGCAGAACATCTCAGGGTTTGGAGTCTTATTTCATGATATTTGAACATTGTGCCTCTGATTGGATAATAGCAATGCAACTCTTCCACTGACTCCAATGTTGGTGTTTTATCTCCACAAATAACACAAGCCTGGAGGAGTTCAGCTGTGTGGTGGAGTTGTGAACACTAATGGTGTTACATCTAACCTGAACTGATGACAGCGAGGCTACTCGGGTGTTCTTGTTCTATAGATGATCCTCAGGTTGAGAAGCTTCACTCAGCAGAAGCAGCTGTAACCAGAAATCCATCAAACTAGCGGATTAACATTTATTTTCGTCTAAATGAGAAATTAAACTATGAAACTAATGTAGATACGACTACAACTAATGATATGATTATAATACAATATGAAATCATCATCTCTCTCTCACTCTCTCTGACAAAAAGACACAGACTTAGGCCAATATGTATGGAGGTTTTCCTACATATTATTTACATATGCACACCAATAATATTAATACTATTGATAGCATGGATGTAAAGGCTATGAAATAAAGACAATATAAGGTAGAGGTGGAGGTTTAGGATGCCATCATTTTTGTTTAATTCATTTATTTCATTCAAAATAAAAACAAATAAAACATATAAACAATAAAATATACATAACAACAAAAAAATCAAATTTGAACAAAAAGGAGCAGAATGAAGAAAACGTTTTATAATTTCTGCCCCCTTTTCCAGAAGAAATAATCAATACAATTTCCATTAGTCAGACACACAAACAGATTCAGTTAGAACTTTTTCTTGTTCTTAATTCCAGAGTGACCATGATCATTGATTTAATTTATATTTATATTTTCATAATTACTTAGTACACTCAATTTGGTACATTTTTTGAATATATTAAATGACAGAGTTTTTTTTCCTTTTAAGGTTATTCCATAATTTAACACCATTTGATGATCATCAAAGCTCTTTTCTGTAATATAAATAAGGGTTGTGTATAGTTTTTGTATGTTGCTCCCCAGATTTCTACACAATATAACAATCAGTGAATTGTACAATGCCAACAAACCAGAATTAGTCAGTAAAAACTTGACTCTATGTAATAGTCCTTAAAGATTAGGCAATTTTACCTCAACTAATATGTGGTTTCCATGTCAAGTCTTCATCAATAAGAACTCCAAGAAATTTAGTTTCTTTTACTCTTTGAATTTCAATCCCATCTATTTCCAATGACACATCTCTGTTCTTTTTATCATTAAACAGTATAAAATTTGTTTTATTAAGATTCAGTGTCAATTTATATCAAACCAGTTTTTAATTTTAATCAGTTCATCATTTATCACTTTAGCCACCTCCTCAATATTTGAGCCTGAGTAAAACAGTGTTGTATCATCTGCAAACAGAATGGTACTGAGTGTCTTAGATACACTTACCAACCCGTTAATAAACAAAATGAACAGTTTTTGTCCGAGGAACGACCCTTGTGGCACTCCACAATTAGCATCACATAGTTTTTATTCATGATCTTTTATCTGAACAAACTGTTTCCTTTTTTCTAAATAAGTTTTAACCCACTGATGAGCCACACCTCTTATTCCATACTGTCCCCTGTTCAGTAGGGGCGGGACAGCGTGCTGGGGGGACTGTGGATGGCTGGTATTTACTTGGAGACGGGCATATGTTTGTTTAGAAATCTCGGAGATTTCAACAAATAAATGACCGAAAAAACTACCAGGAACCATTGTACCCTGGAAAAAGGGTCTGGATGTCACAAAAGACCCTCCTACTAAAAGAAAAACCTTATCCCACCCAAGGATAAAATTTAATCACCGGGGGAGGGGCATCAAAGGTGAGGGGGGGGGGGGGGGGGGGGCACCAAATTGCGCCCTGGACATAGACCTGTGGGGCTTAAAAATCCCAGAGTTTCACAGTCTATTAGCTAATGCAGGAGGACGGTGTAGGAGACCATTTTCATGTTCAGCCTGCATGAAAAACGCTGTGGCCAACTCTAATCAGAAATAATCATTAAGTAAATGTTTTTCAGGGTTCCACACCTTTAATGATCCCAGTTTGTACCTGGTAATTAAAACAAAGTTCTTATTTTATTCATCAGCAGCTGAAATCACTTTATTAATTATTCCTGCTGAAATAACCGAAAAAGATTAAATAACGGACGTGAAGTTTTAGAAGAGTTTAGAATTCATGGAGGTCTGTAGGAGCGGCGTTTCATAGATGAACAATAACAAACATCTAACTTTCTGAAAACCTAAAATAAATCCATAAATATACAGTAAACCATTTTAATCCTGTTACCTTATGCATTATGACCTGCAGATTAAAGGAAGATAAAGGTCTGCAGTTTCCCCAGTTCACAATGTGTGGTAAAACCTTGGCTGTGATTGACAAATACAAATATTTGGGGCATTTCATAAATGATGACTTGGCTGACGATGATGATATTGATCGGCAATGCTGTAAGATGTATGCACAGGCCAATATGCTAATTTGTAGTGAAAAGGTTACTCTTTAAAGTACTCAGTAATATACGGCACATGTGGTCCTGCTACAATCAAGTCTTCGGCGACTTAATGTAGCATATAATGACTGTATAAGAATTTTGCTAAAGACACCTTGTTGGGAAAGTGCAAGCCACTTGTTTGTTTCAATGGGGATGAATACATATTCATGCAATGCGGAGGATCCTGGTGTATAGGTTTATCTGCAGACTAAACCAATGTGATAATATAACTATTAAGGGCCTGACTAATGTCTACTGTAGCACCACCCGCTTTCAGTCAGAATTGTGGCATCACTGGTATAGCAGTCTGCTCTGAATTATTTGTTTTTGTTTTCTCTTATTTATTGCTATTGTTGTAATAGGGTACTTTGGATCCTCAGTCTGCTAATAAATGTTGATTACATCTTTATGCTGCACATGAAGTCATTCTAGAAGTTTTAATGAGTTCCAGAAGTTTCTCCTGTCCACTTTCCCTTTAGGACCTCCTGATTAGATTGTGCTGTACCATGATGAGTCAGACTCCTGAACAGGGGGAGGTTTCTGTGAGTTAAGACACCCAGGATATGAGATCAACACAGGTTTTGTTTTTCAAAGCAACCGAGTCACTTAGTTTGTATTTGAAGACATTTGACTAGTTATTCCAGGTGTTTTATGAGTAAACTGAGCGTTTCAAGCTAGGCGTCTCCTTTAGTGTGAGCCGAACTCTCGTTTCTATCAGTCCTGCCCGATCCTTCAGTCTGAGTTCTTCTTCCTGAGCAGCCAAGTCAAGCGAATCGAGGCAGATTGTATCCCAGCAGGTCCTGGCTAAATGCCGAATGAGCCCCGGAGTTTCCTCTACTTTCCACACACCTCATTGACCCTCTACACTACACAACAAAGTCACTCTCATCCTTCCGGGTGTTTATTTTCTTCTTCCTCCTTTGAAAAGTAAAAATAAAACGAGGAGAGAGACGTATTAAAAAAGTCTTAATTTATTCTCTGACCAATAGAAAATACAACTACAAAAAAATTGAAATGAACAAAAACAAAAGAAAAATACAGCTTATTATCTTGGCTTTGCTTCAAATGCAACACGATGCTAAAAGTAAAAATATCCAAACAATCTATGTACCGGTGGTTGTTCTGAAAATATATGCATTCTAACCACAATATTTACAAATGAACTACAGTCTGCACTAAGCTGCTGATGTCATTCATATCAAAGGAAGTGCCATCTTTACGTCAGAGTTCAAACAGCCACCAACACGTTAACTCTGACAAACTGAAAATGACTTTTCCCTGCCAGGCTCAGTGTACATTATCAACAAGTCAAATAAAGTGACTAATGTTCTGTAAGCCAGCAGGAAAAAGCCCACCTGTGCTGGTTCTGTTCTCCAACAGCACGAGAGGGGCCTGCACCTCCTGGGGTACCAGCTTTATTGGGCTGGATCTGTCTGAAGGGGATCAGACAGAAGCACAAACAGATAAAAGTCATTAAGCTAATCCACACAGCCCCACTTTGTTTACGCCACAGCTAATGAGGATAAACAAGCAGGGACCTGCTCCTCGGGTGAGAGCCTGTGGCACACGCCAGAGCAGGTGTAAGCAAAGCTTCACTATTTATCTGTAAACCCAGCCGGCTTCAGCAACAGCCAACAGCGTTCTCTGACTCATGGAGGTCATGGGAAGACATTGTGCCAGTCTCCAGCTGACTCAGGAACCACCTCCAGGTTGAGCTCTGGCGTCACCTCCACTGAAGACGCTAGATCCTCTTGACCCAGGGGAACGTCTTGTATCTGACCTGGAGGAGAGGAGAGGGGAGGGGACAGTGAGGGAGTTTCAGTGAAATACTTCCCCTTAACCAGAGGATGGATCCATTAGCACCTGGTCAGAGCAGCAGCAGATCTCATTCCGACCAAGATTTGCCCGAGGCCACCATCCAAATGAAACCATTTGTCAAAAAGCAATCTTCCTTTTCACACTGCAACTTTTCTTTTATATTTCAGTTTTTCATCCTCTAAAAAAATGGCGTACATTCAGCTACATGAACACACTCAGACAGATGTTAAAATGACCGTCGATTTGGAATAAATTAGCACAAAACAGGAATTGGGCTCCAGGTGGAGGCTTCAGACCCGTTCCTCTGAGGCTGCAGGCTCCACGCTGAATTCAATTTCATAGTAGGTCACTTAATAATCTGCGTATTTGTGCTGCACTTGTCAAACTCCTCAGACTCAGATCTGTGAGACTGCTGGAGCAGAAATCTGAGCTTCCAAAACAAACAACAAACAGACAAGTTATTCAACAGATACATGAAAAGGATCAAGATTTAGTCAGAGATGGCGTCAGATGAACGTACAGCTGTCTACACTCAGTGAGACTATCTCAAAAACAGTCCCAAAAAACTCTTCTTCCAAGCGCCTTCCTCACCAACAGCTGATCCAACGCCCACTAAATCAACAAACTGGAACTACTACGTCAGGATTGTTACAGAATCATGGCTACACCCACAAATACCAGAGCTGCACCTGCAAATACCAGAGCTGCACCAACAAATACCAGAGCTACACCTGCAAATACCAGAGCTACACCAACAAATACCAGAGCTACACCAACAAATAATAGAGCTACACCTGCAAATACCAGAGCTACACCAACAAATACCAGAGCTACACCAACAAATACCAGAGCTACACCAACAAATACCTTAGCTACTCCTGCAAATACCAAAGCTTCACCAACAAATACCAGAGCTACACCTGCAAATACCAGAGCTACACCTGCAAATACCAGAGCTACACCTGCAAATACCAAAGCTTCACCAACAAATACCAGAGCTACACCTGCAAATACCAGAGCTACACCTGCAAATACCAGAGCTACACCAACAAATACCAGAGCTACACCTGCAAATACCAGAGCTACACCTGCAAATACCAGAGCTACACCTGCAAATACCAGAGCTACACCAACAAATACCAGAGCTACACCAACAAATACCTGAGCTACTCCTGCAAATACCAAAGCTTCACCAACAAATACCAGAGCTACACCTGCAAATACCAGAGCTACACCTGCAAATACCAGAGCTACACCTGCAAATACCAGAGCTACACCAACAAATACCAGAGCTACACCTGCAAATACCAGAGCTACACCTGCAAATACCAGAGCTACACCAACAAATACCAGGGCTACACCAACAAATACCTTAGCTACTCCTGCAAATACCAAAGCTTCACCAACAAATACCAGAGCTACTCCTGCAAATACCAGAGCTACACCTGCAAATACCGAAGCTTCACCAACAAATACCAGAGCTACACCTGCAAATACCAGAGCTACATCTGCAAATACCCGAACTACACCTGCAAATACCAGAGCTACACCTGCAAATACCAGAGCTACACCAACAAATACCACAGCTACACCTGCAAATACCAGAGCTACACCTGCAAATACCAGAGCTACACCTGCAAATACCCGAACTACACCTGCAAATACCAGAGCTACACCTGCAAATACCAGAGCTACTCCTGCAAATACCAGAGCTACTCCTGCAAATACCAGAGCTACTCCTGCAAATACCAGAGCTACACTTGCAAATACCAGAGCTACACCCTCAAATACCAAAGTTACACCTGCAAATTTATCTAGCTAGCAGGACACTGCTTCGGTAGGAACAAAAGCTCCAGTAGGAGCAAGAGAAGGGGCTCTGTTTAAGTCCATATAGTCTGGTGCACCAACAGTAGCGTCACACACTCAGGTTGCTCCACTGATTTGGAAGTAACGACCATAATATAATATACCCAGCCTGCTTCCCATTGAACTGCTCTGAGCCAAGAACACATGATTGGCACAATCTAGGTCCCAGTGGCTTCTATCTCTTAGTTTCAGTCAGAACAGAGTTGAGAGAATTCCTGACCAGCACCGGACTATGAGGAAGATCCTGGAGGCTCCATGGCTGTAACGCAGGTGTATTATGTTAGGAATTATGATGGAAAAGGTTCAACAGACAACAGGTGGAAAACATATGATAATGTTGTGTTTGGTTGTTTGACCATATCTGTTGAATCTGGTGTTCTCTTGTATTCTGGAGACGTGGCCTATGGGGAGGAATCTGAAGAAAAGGGATTGGACCTTTCAGTTGTGTTTTTTCAAAATGTAGCTCAAGAATATGGCTTATTTCAGGAACACATACTTTACCTTTAAATCAAAGTCAAACATAACCCTCTGGAGAGCAAAGAGATGTCTGGATCAGGCTAGGAGGAAATCAAATCCAACATAAAGCTAAGAAGACTGGTCCCTTATGGTTCGGAATGAACATTCATGTCAATCATACGTAGAAACGTTAGGTCTTAATAGATTGATAAAAAAAAAACGTTAATGAATGCCACATTTCTAAGAAATAAAACTCCAGACTTTTGATGAATGAGTTTCCAGTGGAAAAGCAGAGATCTGCTGCATCGAGGAAACTAAACCCAACTTCTAGGTTATACACTATACAAGGTTATATAGTCTTCATGAGGAGAGTTCAATTGTGCTACATACAGAGATGAGCTTAGAGATACAGAAGGATGGACTCCAGTTAATTCAGATAAAGACAAACTAGATGGCCCCTCACAGCTCATTGAAACAAGGCTTTAATGTAAACTTGTTTTGAATCATTTAGAGCTCCAAAGTTCTGCTGCTTTTTAACTCAAAGTTCACGGTAGGAGCTTTCAAAGAACCCTCTGAGCTGCCCTGGGACATGAATGGGGCTCAGTTTTGTTCTGGAGCTTCTATGCTGCACCTTCAATCTGTGCAAGTTAAGCCCGGGTAACCCTAACCCTGATTTTCCATTCCAACAATCATAAGGACTCGTCTGATTGTCATAAAGATAATCTCATCAGATATTCCTACCATCTTTGGTGAAGAGCGCTCTGGTCTGCCCAGAAACGTGTTGGAACAGCTCTGATGATAAATCACAGACATTAAAAGTGTTGGCTTGGTTTGATTTTGCAAAGAAAGAAAGAAATGTAACGTGATGAAGGAACTATTCCACCGAAGGTTATTTACCCTCTCTCCTCAGGAAGAACTAATCAGCATGAGACTGCCTCAAGATCATGCATTTGCTTCTAAACTGTTTCCTTTTCAGCTCAAGAGAAGAAAGAAGATGAACTCTTTCTTTTTAATAAATCAAAGAACTCTATTTTAATAAAGCTAATCAAACAAAGTATTAGTCCAATAACCAAATGTGAACCAATCTGTAAAATGACAATGTTCAGGATCAGTGGTATTTTAATATTAATAAGTAATATGACTTTAATCTTGCTGCACTAGACATTCTGATACACGTAATGTTTAAAGTCACATGACACCTTTTTTTTTCTCATCCAATCGGAACCTTCCTTTCTGAAGCGTGGCATAGAGATACAGAAGACTTCCCACTCAGACTTGCTTCTCTGGATACGAGAGTTCTGATGACAACATCACTCACACATACACCATCCATCTCACGTCTCATTCACACCAAGATCCATTCATCACCCAGAGTTTAGAGTTAGTCTTCTTTAATATTGTTTAGAAATAAATCTTCTTAAACTTTTTAAGGGTGACTCTCTCTTCTCTTGTCTCTCAGTTAATACGAAGTGGTTACATAATCCCTGCAATAAAAAGTTCCAGTCTTCTGGTTTAAATTATCCAAAGATCCATAAGATTGATTTCATATTTCCTATGGAATATCACAACTTATGGTTCATTAAATAACATGTAAATTAAATCATTACAGAAAGAAAGAAAGAAAGAAAGATATATTTTATTTAGTGCCTCTCAAGATAAAATCCTGAGGCACATCACAAGAACAAAAAATTCAAAATACAGAAAATCTTCAAAAAGTGATTAAAAAAAGATTAAAATTAGAAAAAAAAATTAAAAATTACGAATTGGGATTAAAAATTCCAAGGCAAGGGAATGGGAAAATGAATAGGAAAGAGGGAAATCAGTGGATCCCAGCAGAATGGGTAGAAAAAGCAGATCAAGGAGAGGGTGATGATAAAGGTAACACCAAAGCCAGCCTGAACAGCTGAGTTTTCAGCTGCTTTTTGATGGAGACCACCAAGTCCACTGATCTCAGATCTTTGAGGACAAACACATTTTCTTTTGTGTAGCCAATTACAAACATGTTTGTTTCCTCTGAAGTCATGTTTGATCTGGAGAGATATTACAAGATTTCCCATCTGAGAGGTTAAATGTTGAATATGGAAAAATTTAATAAAAAGCTGTATTTAAAAAATATAATACCTCCATGGGGCGTTTAGAGGTGTGCAGAATGAAGGTACAGAATTTCCTTCAAAGGCTATAGTTTAATTAAAAAATATTCAAATATTTCTGTTGACGGACACAACACTGGGTTTATGTTTACATCTTCCAGCCAGCAGAGGGCACCATTGCGGGTTGCCAAATATGGTAAACAGTCCGCTTGGCACAGTGAGGCTAGCACTGTGGAAAATGGCGGACTCGGCAAGTCAGGCAGCTGCTTCTGAGCCCAGACGATGTTGTAGATAAGTAGATAAGACACAGATGGAGTTATGGGAATCATAAATCATCTCTTTGTTAGAAACATTCTGGAAGGAAGGGGTCTGGACTGGGAGGGTGGTTGTTAGGTCTGTGATCATTTCTCTTGTTCTCTGGGAAGCATGGAGATGTTCTTTTGTGACTATGTTCCTCATTCCATGCTGCAATATGGAATTACAATGGTTCTGACTGAACCCAGAGCAGTTTCCTAGTTGTTTTAATAATTCTCAATGATGTTCCACATCA